AAGAGACAAAACATGACTAGATTGACTTCCCACCAAAAAGAAATTCAAACTATTCTCATTGAAAAAAATAAATAAATTCAGAGAAAACATTTTTATGCATGTATTAAGAATCCCATAAAAACAATATTGTACATGAGGAGAATGAGAAAATCATTCCTGTAAGAAGTATAATTTATGATAATGTAAAGAATCATGATTTTCTAGACAAAGATATCCATTTATTGAAGAAAGAACAAATTCCAATGCAATGAAAGCATCAACATTTTCAGATGCTTACAAGGTATGCATTGTGCATAACTGAAAAAAAAGGTTACCTGTTCTTTCTGACAATGATGGTATGGAGAGCCATAACTGCCCACAATGATAGCATCCGGCATTGTCTGATCTGAGGTAAGCTTCTGTAATGTGTGGAAGCTGTTGTTTAATAGTTACTAATGCATGTTCTAGTAAAGAAAGAACAGCAAAGAAGTCCTGCTTCACATAATCCATGATGTGAGTAAAAGTCCTGTGCTGCAAAGGAGTAAAATTGTATGAGGCATATGTTCACAAACTGTAAAGTAACTTCATTTCTCATTTACAAAACCAAATCTTTCACATGCCGGACAACTAAACTTTAATTAACTATTGATACATGTAGATATATACCCGATAATTTTTACATGTGCACAGTCAAGTGTTCTAATCTTAAACTCCATGGGAATGCAAAACACTTGAGAGGATGCATGTATCAAGTTTAAAACTTGAATGATATTTAATTCTTAGATGTTCGAATGAATGAATTTTGAGATATCCATGATATTCAAGAAATAAGTTCCAAGAAAGTGTAGGTGAACTGCATATTATCCATGTATATATATTTATATTAGCTTACCACTAGACTTCCATTTTGTTCCTTGAAAACTGCAACACACACATGCCAGTGTACGCCTTTCTGTCCAAAGAAGTCTTTCATTTTCTCACGGTACATCTGCGGCAAATATTTCATCGCCCAGTCTAAAATCACTAAAACCTGGTTGTTGTTCAGATTATGCAGCACATCTACCCTTCCGTCATCCTGATTCACAGTTCTTATGATGTGTGATCTCCAGTCCTCTACTTGTGTTATGGACATTTCCAAATCTTGCAGTAGTACCTCTTGCTCTTCTGATGGAGACTTTATGATGACCTTGCGGATCTCCGTGACAGATTCATCAAATAAGTTACACCTGCTGCAGTTGTTATTATGCTCATGGTCACATGAAACACTAAGATGGCTTGATTTGGGGTCACTAAGTGCATACTGTAAGCAGTGGAAAGCGCATTCATCTTCCCGCTTGATGTGGAGCTTGTAGTCAGTCTTTAAGTACAGTCGAGCATTGAACAGCTTTTCCTTCAGTTCTTTTTTCCATTGCTGAGGCTCATCAAGCTTATCAACTAAGCTAGTCAGACTGTCAAATGCAGAAGATCCATCAACAGCAATGTTATCAAGTCCTTTCAGGCACTTCCGTTTTGATGCACTGCATGCATTTAGGACTTCATATAGAGTGGACTCACTGAGAGGCTCAAAGTTATTACTGGCGCAGTATGTGTTGTAAAGTTTGATCAAATTTGAATGGATCATAGTCCTAACTACATCAGGAATTACTAAGGTGTCTCCAGAATCTAGCTTGAGGTTCCTTGTAGTGTACGATGAAATCTGGTTGAATGATGGATCACTGAAAAATTCCACTGCATGCTGTAACTTTGCAAAATTGATTCTTTGTCTGTGTTGAGAAGATACTGTTTGCTGAACACCTGATCCAGGACCATTTATGAAAGCGTGTCTCCTGGCTTTATCTATCTGATGTTTTGTAACTTCTGGAAACTTTGTCAACAGTTCAGCCTTTGAACATCTATTTACTATTAGAGACAAAAGTTGACATTTCACATCTGCATCCTTGATATTGTGGTACAGCTCACCGACAACACGAAAAAGGTCATCATCATTAGCTTCCGAATTTGGTAATGTCATCTTCTTAAGTCTCTCTCCTTGATGAGGAGCAATGGCATCTAGAAGAGCTGAACAAGTCTCCTGTGCTTTCCTTTTGTAGTATCTAAAAATTAGAAAGATATATTTAACATTTTGTTTAAAATACTCTTTCTTCTGCTGTTAGAAAAGTAAACACCTATTGAATATGACATGAAGAAGACCGAAATTATATTACAGTCCAATTTAAGCATGAGGCCCATGGGTCACTGTATCACCTGAGCATAATTTTGAATAAATATGAAACTAGAGGTCTGAGTTGCTTTCTAAAACTTATGCTCCCTGTATGCAAAACTGCAGATTGAAGATTACTTATTTCTCTGAAGTACTTAATATTGCAAAATGGCAAATTGTTAGAATGCTGGGTTTTTCAGAGGTGCTAAATCATGAATATTTCATGGTTCTAAGAGAGGAGAAAAATGCTAAAACATTTTTAGTGCAAATGTAGCTGCTCAATATATTTTTTATAAATGAAATGAAGGCACAGACTAATAAAAAAATAGACTAAATAATTGAGTAAATATACAGACCAGACACAAATTATGAACTTTTTCTGTAAGTGACCTTGAACTTGCATAAATAACTTTGGTACAAAGTCATGGAACAACCTCAGGTTATAAGCTATGTTTTTCTGAAGTATTAGATTCAATTTTTTCCATTATAAAGATATGTACCAAACATGAATTATACAATTTTATTTTAGTGACCTTGAATATGTACAAATGACCTTGGGTCAAGTTCATGACACACCCTTAGATCATGAGGAATGTTTGTGTGAAATGAGAACCTACCAAGCTTATCGATAAAAAAGATATGGACTGGATACGAATTATAAAAATTGTCTTCCAGTGACCTTGAACTTCCCCAAAGGTCATGACACACCCTTAGGTCATGGGCATTCTTTGTGTGAAATGAGAACCTACCAAGTTTATCCATAAGAAAGATATGGATCAGACACAAATTATGAAATTTTTCTTCCAGTGACCTTGAACTTCCCCAAATGACCTTGGGTCAAGGTCATGACACACCCTTAGGACATGGGCAATCTTTAAGTGGAGTAGTAGATTCTAATCTTCCTCTGTAAGAAAGATATGGACCGGACATGTTTGCACAGACAGACAGACAAGCCGACTCCTATATACCCCCCCCCCTCCAAAGTTCGTTTGCGGGGGGTATAAATATGTTTACCAAATTTTATTTCAGTATGTGCAACCTCTGTGAATAAAATGAACAGAAACTGCAAATAATGAGAGAACTTCTCTAACTCCAAGGGGCACAACTCTGTCAAAAATTGCTTGATAGTAGCCAAAACAGAACTTGATCTACCTATTATGATATATCTATATACGAAATTTCATTTCTGCAACCACTGCAAAGAACATAAACGTAAACAGGAAACAGAAGGAATCTTTCTGTCTAACGGGCATAAGGCTGTCAAAAATGGCTCGATTGTACCCAAAACAATGAAAGAAAAAGTGAGCAAGCTCACATACCCCACGCTCCCCCAAATCTCAAAGTGCTGAAAATCCGGGAAAAAAAAGAAAGAATCGGAATTTCCCAGTAATATGCACATCTACAAATTGTGTCCTAAATATCTGCAAAGTTCGATGAAATTCTGTGCAGCGGTTTATGAGGAGTTGCGCTGACAAACTGTTCATCTCTATATTCAAGATATCCCCAAAAATCTAAGTTGTAAAGTGCCGAAATTCCCAGAAAAATAAAGGAATCGGAATTTCCTGGTAATATGCACATCTACACACTGTGTCCTATTAAAATATCTTCAAAGTTTGACGAAATTCTGTGCAGCGGTTTATGAGGAGTTGCGCTGACAAAATGTTCATCTCTCTATTTAAGGCATGGCAAAAAATCTTAGTTAAAAAGTGGGGAATTCCCGGAAAAAATAAAGGAATCGGAATTTCCTGGTAATATGCACATCTACACATTGTGTCCTAAATATCTGCAAAGTTTGATGAAATTCTGTGCAGAGGTTTATGAGGAGTTGCGCTGACAAAATGTTCATCTCTATCTTCAAGGTATGGCCAAATGCCTAAAATAAAAAGTGCAGAAATTCCCGGGAAAAATAATGGAATCAAAATTTCCTGGTTATATGCACATGTACACATTGTGTTCTAAATACCTGCAAAGATTGACGAAATTCTGTGAAGCGGTTTATGAGGGGTTGCGCTGACAAACTGTTCATTTCTATATTCAAGGTATGGCCAAATGCCTAAGTTTAGTGCGAAATTCCCAGATAAAATAATGGAATCAGAATTTCCTGGTAATATGCACATCTACACATTGTGTCCTTAATACCTGCAAAGTTTGACGAAATTCTGTGCAGCAGTTTATGAGGAGTTGTGCTGACAAAAAAAAAACTGACTGACTGACGGACTGATTGACGGACTGGTCAAAAACATTATACCTCACGCAACTAGTTGCCTGGGGTATAAAAATTGACTTAGATGTTCTTATGATAAAGCTTTATTGTTTATACCAAATTTCATTTCAGTATATGCAATAGCTGTGAAGAAAATGAACAGAAACTTGGTGGACCTACAGACTGACCGGCAGACAGACAGCAGCAAACCAATATGCCCTTTTTCTTTCAAGGGGGGTGTAAAATATATAACTTAGTATAAAAATACTACACAGTATGCTTTAGTTGTTACACTCTAAACTTTTCAGTATGTTCCTATTCTAGGCATCTACTCTATAAAAAAAAGAACTTAATAAATAATGACTTGTCACACTGCAATTGATTTGCAAAATAAGGCAAACATTTATGACGTCAATTTTAGAGCTAATTTTCTGATAATGTCAAGATGCATATAGTTCTAATGGTGAATGGGCTTTATGCAAGACAATTATCATATACAAGGATCCTTACTCATGCAAATTATTTTCAAAAGAAACTCACTGCTTGTGCATGAAAAAAGTAATTAGAATTTTATTACTTGACGTGATTAATTATCCCCTCCTTCGAAGAAGGGAGGGCATATTGCTTTGCTGCTGTCTGTCGGTCGGCCCATTTAGTTTCCGTTCATTTTCTTCACAACCGTTGCACATACTGAAATGAAATTTGGTATACAGGTATATCAGATGAATATCTAGGTCAAGTTCTTTTTGGGTACAATAGCACCATTTTTGATGGATTTATGCCCCTTGGACTTAGAAAAATTCCAATTTGTGGGGTGGGGGGCATAAGTGTTTTATAAGTGTTTTACAAACATATCTTGTTTACCTTAGAGTTCGTTCTTTAGTATTCATCAATTCTGTATTGAGTCTTGATCGCAATGGACTAATTTGACCCTGGCTTAGGATGTTAATAGCTGTGTTCACATCAGTCAACTGAATTTCATGAAGGGGTAGGGCTTCCTCTTCCTGACTCCAATTAGAACCTTGACTACAAACTGCACTGCTCTGACTATCACTCTGTTACAAAATTAAACAAATATTTCATATAATCTTTCCTTACTACAATAACAAAATATATGTATATGAACAAATGATGCAGGTATGGATCCAGGACTTTTAAGCATATCAAACTTGTGGGATGGAGAGAAACCCCCAATCCCTGTTATAGATCTGTGCAAGTTATCCATGTATTTTGAAGACAAAGATTTAGTTTTGTGATATTTGTTAGACATGTGAGCTACAGAGCCCATTTGAGTGAGTATGTAGAAATTATGGATTCATATCATGAATACCAAATCTGACCTTTTCAAATGGTTCTCTTTTGTAGGGAGAAGGCTGGGTTTTAATGACATGATATTTATAGTTTTAAATGATGCCTCTACCTCTTTCAAACATAAATGTCTAGTTTCATATTCAAATTCTACTTTTATGTTTAGAGCACTGTTTCAAAGAAGAAAATTTAACTTTAAAGATATTTTCCACTACAAAGATTGTAAGCTAAAACTTGATACCCCTATGCATTATGGTAGCTTAATCCTACATGGTAGTGTATCACTCAATATTTCCATTTGTAATTTTTTTTTCTCTGTGATAACTCTTTGAAGGTTAGGGGAGTTTATTTCTTGATAATTCTGTCGGAATGTAAATTAGGCAGGTCGATAGGTCAGGAGCTAAGAGGGCCTGATATACATGCAAATCCTGTGCGCATCTAACTATGTGTCTGACGCTAAGGAGGCCAAATATGCATGTAAATCTTGTGCAGCTGCCTTTGTGTTTGACGTCAGTTGACGAGGACTATTGAAATTGGCATGGGAGTCCTCGTGTAATTTAAATCGATAATCTACATTTTTAAAGTCTAAATCTACAATTTTATTTCACAATGAAATGGATATATAAGGAATCACTGTCTAGTTAGTATAGTATGCCAGGGACATCAACGATAGTGGGAAACATGGGATAATTTATTCATAATGGGCTTTGCCCGTTGTGCAAATTATCAAAGTTTCCCACTATCGATGATGCCCTGGCATACTACACAAACTAGACAGTGATTCCTTAAAACAATGAATTTAGAGTATACACACTTCACCTTAAAAAATAATTTTTAAAAACCATAAATAAACTGAGTAATGGGCATTAGCAAATTATGATCATCTTGTTTTTCAAGACTGCAATATTTTGTTTCTTCCAGGCTTGATTTTCCTTAAACTAATGTTTTTACTTTCTACAGATCAATATAAAATTACAAAATTTCTTCAGATATCTAGAATTCACATGATATTCAATTTGTTCAACACTTACTTCATATATGATCTCTGTCCTTCTTGCACGGAGTCGACCACTCCATTCTTCATTATCTTCTGTTTCAGTCTGAGCAAAAGAGGTTTTAGAAATAATGGATATTATAGTAATAAAATCATATTAAAGAATTAACATATTCTCAGAATGACTGTTTTGAAAATAGGTCTAAATATTTTCACTATCAATTAATATTCAACATCAAAATTGTATACATACACCATCAGTACATGTAGACTGCTGGTTTTGGATAGAGGTTGCAATATCTGTCTCATCTTTGCCATGCTTGTCTTCCATGGGAGCTTCAACCTATTCATGATACATCTTAATTAAAATATAATTAAAATTGGTTATTTCATTTAAATATTTTTAACAGTGAATCAAATCTTAACCCTCTTTTATAAAATAAAAAAGCAATAGACCTATATCTAAATTTTGGGATCTAAAACTTAAATTCGGCATAGACTACTCTACTTATAAAAACTTTCAACGTAGTGTACAGATTATCAGTTAATCGACTTTAGATAAGTAAAATCTGAATTAAGGTAACTTGTACTTCACCAACAGAACTTTATGCTTTACAAACATTTCATTAAAAACATCTTTTACCAAAATGTTATGCTATGTTACTTACATGGGCTTTAAATACTGAGAATATTACCAGATCAGTAATTCTTTTAAAAATTCTTATTTTCAAGTACCGTAATTTTTAATGGTTCTTTTTAGATATAATTTCTAAATGTAGTTTCAAGTAGTGTGGTTGCTATCACAAATATGCAACTATGGAAGTACAATGTAGCAATTTATTTCATTCAACAAGGAAGCACGTACAAGAAGGCACAGAAAAATACAAGTAATTCGTAGATGTGAAAGAGCTCTTGAAATATAAGACTCAGGACTCATTACCTCTCCAGTTGATGAAGGAAGCTTCAAATAATCTCCATGACATTTTCTGCATATTCCTAAAATTAATTATAAAAGATTTATCATTGCTCCTTTTTTTCTTAACAATGCTCAACTTGCAACCAACTTCAATAATTATTTTATTGTTTATTTATAGAGGGCGGAGCCCTCTCACGGGCCCGAAGGGCCCGTGAGAGCGAAGCTCTCCCTATAGGTAACACGTATGTATATGAAAAATAAAAGAAATCTATTGTAAACTATATGTCAATTACAATACCCAGGCCATGGAACTGAGATTCTTGTCGCCAATATGGCGTCCTGTAAAATGGCGTCGGTTTGATTCACGCGCAAATTCTCGTTGTTGATGAGACTTTCATCAAAGTGAAAACCATTTAATCCAAGGATAATTAGAAGTAATGGTTTTTTACTTAAAATCAAATCCATCTTCCAACTTTCGATTTAGACGTTTAGATTTATTTATAGTTCGCGCTTCACAAGTATAACGGCATTTGATTGGTTAGAAATTCCCTACGGCGGCGCTGTCGTCTGCACTATTGAGGAGCGGATCTATAACCTTATTTATTTGTTAATAAAATTTAATAATAACGAATGTCTTCAGGATTATTGTCAATACATACCAAGCTAGAAATATAGTATTTTTTTTAGACATACTGTACAATTTTTTTGAACAGTTAAATGTTTTAAAAGTTATATTTAAAATTTAATACCCTGTGAAAAGTCTAAATTTAGGGACTCAATAAATGTGTGGAATATTTTTTTTAAAAATCTTTAGGTATCCAAATTGTTTATGAATATTTACTTGTACATAGATATATAAATACTTAGCAGATGGAAGTCTGAGTCTCATTTTTGTTGTGATTTTTAAAATTCAATATTTCATTTTATGAAGTTTTTCAAATGACAAAATTTCAGTATCTTAAATATAATAATCAAAACAAAAATCTTAATTGATATATATGAATTTTAAAAATATAGAAAAGATTTTTTTAGACAATTGGAATTACATATATACTGTAAAGTCTAAAATTAGGAAAAACTAAGTTAGACAATGTATGATGTACAGTCTGGAGAGGTAGTTGTTCAATCTGCATGTATCAGTAAATGCATGTAAATATACAGTCACGAAGTTATATGACTTCAATGTTGCAGTGCATGCTGTTAATGTAATACACATCAAGCATATCAATATAGTTTTCTATCCTAATAAATGTGCTTTAAAACTTTTGAAAACATGAAGCAAATATTCAGAATTTTTGTTTGACATCAATAAAGTTAAATATTCAATTCAAACTTCTCAGAAGTGTACCCTACTATTCACAAGTTTTGGTTTTGAAATTATATGATTAACCAAGTCTTAAACGACAAAGATACCAGAAAAATTACTTTTAATTTCGAGGTTTTTTTTTTCTACAGATAATTAAAAAGTATAACTGTTTTCAAAACGATTGTGTTAATGTTAGATTTAGAAAATTCGAAAGACTATTTAAATCAGATTTGTTTTAACAACATCAGCCCCCCAAAAAACAAAAAAAAACTGAAAAGTGAAATATACATTTTTCGTTAAAATAAAGAAAATAATCATTATGATTAAATTAATGGGTTACCAATTAATGTAAAATAAAAAGAAATAAATAAGAAGAAACTTTAAAAAGATATATCACAACAGGGACCTAATTCTGTAAACCAACTTTTATTCGCGTGCGAGAAATTTTCCCGAAGTTCTCGAGAGCCTCGTCATCACGAATATTTCTCGCCGCAAACCGGTCCTTTAAGTGTATATGTGTCTATTAACAACAGATCCAGAAATGCTTGATCGCGAAAATAAACTAATTTATCCCAGGTAAATCGCGAAATAAAGTCGTCGCAAATAAAAGTTGGTTTACAGTAAATGTCCCTTATCTTTTTTCTCATAAAAGTTGTGATGCTGTTATATTTTCAACCTTCGTGATAGTAACACAGTCAAATTTGGTCTGATGATGAGATTCATCCAGGAAGTAGACCATCTGTCTGTATTTTAGGTCATCTGAGTTCGTCTTATGATCTGGTCTTGACAATATTGTTCTTACTTTAGATGACGTCATAACTGTGATAATGTAATGGGAGTAATAACACTAGTTGAGAAATGACTTGAGGTTTCCAGATCAGTGTTGTTAAATAATTAAGCATATGAATCAAAAGTAGTGAAAGACAAAGAAATGATGCTCAGAAAAGTTTATGAGTTGATTATTGTAGGATATATTTGGGAACAAGTTTACTGTTACATGCATTAAAGATTGAGGTGTCGTTGGGCCGAGGTGTATCACATTTCTTGGACCTCGGTACGTTGAATCCCTTACTGGTCCAGTGCATGCCGCTCCCTTTCCCCACTACATTCTTCGATGTTTAGTGCTCTGGCTAGACAACCCTTTGTCTCATGATGAAATATCTCAGTTAGTTCTTAGATTTATTACATGTATTTGAATGAAAAGTTTTTTTTTTAGAACTGAGTCTCTGACACTGACATACAATTTCAGAATTTAACCTGTTAACTGATTTGTCATTAAACAATAAAAGGTAGCAATTTTCTCTTCATGGCTCCGCCCTCACTAACGGTCACACCGTCTAACATATTATATGTAGTGGTTTAGATTTTTGTTTCATAGCCATCGTTTCGTAATTCAATACTTACAAGTATTTGCTGGTATTTCAGTCTGATAATTCTATTTACCATTTGTTTTCAGTTGTTACTTACGTAAAAGTCCTTTATTATTTGTCTTTTATAAGTTAGGACATGAGTTGACATTCCACATGTTTTACTTTTTTAAACAGGAAGTGTCATCCATGTTGGCAGTCTTTCCGTAGTACTTTTGATACCTGCGTTCTGATTGGTTAATTTAGCTTTAGGATCTTTGATAGTCATTGGCTTTTATTTTGGGCCTTGTCAGGGTATTTAAACCCGTGTTCGTGTAGTTTTCTTCACTTGGGTTGGGGAACACAGCCTCATGGTTAGTTCCTCTTTTCTGTGCTAAGAAAACCTTATGGTTTATGAGCACTATTTGATTAGATACTTAGTGGACTAAGAAAACCTTATGGTTTAACAAGTTCTCTAGGTTTTGGCTTAGATTTAGTTTCACGTTTTTCACATGTTAGGAAACAGTTAGGATGTAGGGTATTTAAAGTAAATTTAGTTTCCCCTTTCCAAGTCCAGCCTGGTCTAGGGATATGTGGATAACAGGTTTATTTTCTAGAACCACTATTTATTATTTATTTTTGGGTGTTGTTTATTTTCTGGGTCAGTTATTTTTAGAGCCTAGAATTAGTATTGATATTTTCAGATTAACTCTAGAGTGTTGATAGTAGTCATATTGGGTGATGTAGCTCATTCCCTTTTCATTTTTTCCATCTCATTGATTTTTATAGGATTTTTCACCTTTTTGATAAGTATGGAAGCCCAGTAGGGACATAGATTATTTTTCATAGTTTTGCCACATTCCTCCCATTTTTCATTATATTTTTCAATTATTTATTTATTGAGATTATTCATTGAGATTATTGAGATTCATTTTTCAGATTAAATTACATTTTTGATAAAGCTTTATTTATCCTGTGCCATTTTCAAAGACTTTTCTGTTTGTTAAATTTTGATCAATATTTATTATTTGTTATCATTTACAACGGTTAATTCTCACTTTATTAAATTGATAAAACTTACAACTGTGTTTTCATTTAGCGTTGACCATAGTTCAGAAATCCCCTTACCTGGGTTGATCATTGATAACTGGAGATAGTTTACTCCTTTAAGCCGAGTTGGCTAGTAACTTTGGTAATTTATACATTGAAGAGTTCTACTTCCGGTTACATAATTTTTGGTGCCGTGACCAGGATTTCTGAATAGAAACCATGGCTTCGTTAAATCCAGATTCTGATAGAGTAGAAAGAGCTACATCAACCCCTAGAGTTGATAGGTTAAGTTCAAGTCAAGGTGCTAGACCTAAGCTTATGTCAAGAGTCAAACAGCCCTCTTTGTCCTCTCCTGTGAGTGAGATTGAGATGCATGAGAGTAAACTAGATACTAGCATGAGTTTACAGGTTTCAGATTTAGAACAACTGTTGCAGGACCTCACTACAGACTTTGAGAAATGTAAGCATGAGATTGAAGAAACTCTTCGACGCAAACGTCGTGTGTCATTTGCTGAAGGTAATGATAGGGATAGACATGCAAGACAGAATGAAGTTGTAAGAGAGACAGTGACACCCTTAGATAGAGTGAGAGAAACAGAGAGTTTGAGTACTTCACCTGCACAAATAAACTTTGCACAGAGAGACAGAAGTGAGAATCTCAGTAGGTCACAGACAAATATGTCTACACTGCCCAGTACCCCTGTAAATCTTGGTAGACCTAAACGTAGAGAAAAAGAACCAGACAAGTTTGATGGTAGAAATGTAGCATGGCAGGATTACTTAGTTCATTTTGAGCAAGTGTCTAATTGGAACAATTGGTCTCATGAAGAAAAGTCCCAGCAGCTAGTTATGTCATTAAGGGGGGAGGCACAGAAAATTCTAGGTGACCTATCTCAAGAACAGAGAAAAGATTATGACAACTTAACATCTATCTTATCTAGTAGGTTTTGTCCGAAAGAACTTGTAGTTGCACATAGAGTAGATTTTAGATCACGTCTTAGAAAACAGAATGAAAGCCCTTCAGATTATGGTTTTGCACTTAGGAGGTTAGGAAACTTAGCTTTTCCAGATATGGCTTATTCTGATAGGGAGATAGTTGTTTTAGAGCAGTTTATGAGTGGAATTGGGAATTCAGAAATTAGATCTCATGTCATTTTACATCATCCTAAGACTTTAGAGAGTGCCATTTCATTAGCAACAGAATTTGAGGCAGTTAAGGGGCCACAACTCTCCATCACTAAGCCAAGTGTAAATAGTGTTAGGACAGATAATGAAACTACACCTGTTAAGACCCCTGATGAGTTGTCAAGTTTAGTTCAAACTCTAGAGAAATGCGTTAACAAGATGGCCAATAGTTATCGGGGTGGTAAAAAACAAA